TCATAGCGACCCCTCCTTGGGTTTCCAAGGCAGTATCACTACAGAAGTAGATTGCCCCATCTTTCCTTCCGAGGAGTGGCTGGTGGGTTTGAACCGCCAGCCTTCTGGTTAGCAATCAAGTGCCTTAGCCACTATGCTACCAGAGCTCCCAGTGAAGTACTATTCTCCAGAGAAAAAGAATTTATTTGTAGACCTATATTACAAACATTTGTACTCCATTCTTATTGTAGTTTGAATTTCACCAATAAAAATGTGTGGAAATTTTTCTCTTTTTATATATATCTATGTCTATACCTCAGTTTTGCTTCTTGGCCCACAAAACTTGAAATATTTACTATTTATTACTTTATAGAAAAAGATTGCCAACTCCTGATCTATGCCAATTGCCAGCAACAAAACTGGAAACCAGCTAGAGAGAAAGGAATGCTGAACACTTCTACATGCCAGGCTGTGCCCTACATGTGTTCTGTCTCTTTATTCCCACAACAAATCTAAGAGAAAGTCCACTCGGTGTTCATTTTACCAATGAGGAAGCCGAGGCACTGAGAGGTTAAATAACACCGCCCAAGGTATTATACCTAATACAAGATGGAAATAGGACTCAGAACCTGGTGTGTCTTTCTTCCAGGTCCGTGTTCTTTCTTCTGAACCAACAGCTCCAAACTTGGTGGGGGACACACTGCTGATCAGGCTGTGCACTCAGAGTTAAGCAGCTGCCTCTCTCCGTCTCCTTCCCTCGACACTTTCTCACAAGCTCAGCCATCATGAATAGCTGTTCACACGTAGCAACATCTGACTGTGCACAGGATGACAAGAAAGAAATACATGCCCAATCAAGCAAAATAGTATTTCCCTGAGGCAAGCTGACTCTGGTTTCTAAAAGTACACAGTAACCAGTGGGGATCTAATTTCAATTACTGATATGTGTTAACTGAGTTTGAGCCTATCCATGGGCTGGGTGGGATTCATTAAGGCCCCAGAAGCTGTTGCCAGTGAATGCGCAAAGCATTGGTTCTGGTTTTGGGAAGTATTTTGAGCTGCTTGGAGACTGGCAAGCCCAGCGAGCTTACTGGACATATTTTAATATACAAAGCCCCAGGAAACACTAGCCATTCTCTGCTGGATGACTCACCAAGTGACCCAGAGCTTCAGCTCACTGCTAAATTCATCCTCTCTGTAGCTCAGGAAAATTCCATCTGAGCTCATACACATACCTATACCTCGACCCAAAAAACGTTCAGTACAAGACAGAAATCTGCCTAGCAATCTTCACCTGTTCCTTTAGGGTTTCTTGTTTCATCCTTTTCCTTAAAATACTATAGGTGACTCAGTTATCCCAGCGTCATCCAAAAATAAGTGTCATTTCAAATAAAACTCTTATTATCATTAACACCACCAGTGAATTGGTGCCAAATCTTGCAGAATGGCTACTAAAACTCTCACTTTAGGTAAAGATTACACTTGAAGCTTATCCCTCTGAGTATTTTTCTACACATGTATATTGGTGTGTGTAGGCAAAAACTGTAGGAGCTCTGGTAGCATAGTGCCTAAGGCACTTGACTGCTAACCAGAAGGCTGGCGGTTCAAATCCACCAGCCACTCCTCAGAAGGAAGGTTGGGCAATCCTACTTCCGTAGTGATACTGCCTCGGAAACCCAAGGAGGGGTCGCTATGAGTCGGGGCCGACTCAACGGCAAATAACAACAACAACAACAGACAAAAACTGGATCATACTGAACATACTGTTTTATAACCTTCACTTTATTTAGTAAAACTTTGAGGTAAAGTAAATAAATCACCTTTGTCCAGTCAGTTTGACATTGCCAAGGTCTAAAAAAAAAAGCGATGAAAAGT